GTTATGTTAAGATTCATGTGTAGTCACACACAGGACAGGATACAGAAGATTATATGCAAGGAGATATTGGTGTGTGACACCTATTAAAAAAGGTGACCAAGAATCTGTTAAGGTGGTTTGAGCTCGGGCAAAGTAGGCCACTAGAGGCATTGATGAGGAGACTAGATCACATGGTGTTTTACTCCTGTGAAAATGGGTAGAGGGAGACCAAAGGATATTATTGGAGGAAGTTATTAATAGGAATCCCTTGGTGAGTAATATCCCGCAGAATTTGGTTTTTAACCGAGCCTAATTCTGCTATTATGTGATCTATGTAGCTGACTTCACCTAATGGGATGGGATATGGTTATTGTTGTATTTGTTTTGAGTGTCTAGTTCCTTTTGGGTTCATCAAGGCATCACTTATGAGTGACCATCATTTGAAACCCCTGAATAAGGTCAATAAAGGTTGAATGGTCAATATGTATAGGTTGCAGTGTTGAATTCAGAGTTTCATTTGTCGGATGAATTTATCTTAAATAATGCTATGGTGAAAATTTGAGTGAGGCTTTCTTAAAACATGTTGGTGGAAAACCTTGGTTTGATGAATTATCATTTTAAATGTTTGAATAGTTTTCCATTTTTTTTTTGGTTGTGTATGCTATATTCTCTGCTTTGAGTATTCAATATGGTTTTGTAGCTGTGTAAGATTTTTTTTATTTATAGCTCAAACTTGGTGCAGCGACCCTTCTATGAACGATGGAAGATGCTTGAGAAAGAGGTGATTGAACCTAGGAATCATGAGCGGCAACACATATATCAGAGCAGAAATCCTTACTATAGATATGATCTGGAACCATTCAGGGCATGCATCTTTAACCTTAATTGCTCATAACATAAGCTTCACTTCATTTTCGCCTTGGGGCTTCACTATTAATATGCTTGCAATGTTATTTAGGTGAGGAGGAAGGATTTTTGGTTGCTCTCTACTGTCACAAAGCTTTTAAAGGAATTCATCAAAAGACTCTCACACGAGGCAGATGGTCTCATATTTCAGGTGGGTCTTGATCAATGATCCCTTTTAATGCTTTTAAGCATGGGAATGGATTTTCCGTTCTGCACCAAGTTGGCAAGTCACCTTTTTTGTATATATATGTTTTCCCTGTTTAAAATCTCTGGTTCTTTGCTTTTGAATCTGTTGATACATACTTCTGATACATAATCAGCATGAAAATGAATGTCTTTATGGCTGAAACCTGATGTGAGGTTTGCTTAAAGATTTGGGAAATCCTTGTTAATGAACAGTGTTTTTTTTCTTCTTGTCATTGGACCCTATGGAGGTTGTTACTGACAATGTTGATTATACCAGGGTTGGGATGATCCTTATATACCACGTACTCACGAAGGACTCTTGAAGTGGAAATATGCTAATCTGAATTCAGTTGATTTTCTTTTCGAGGTAGTATCATCATTCATCAGTCATCACTATATTTCACATGGATATGGTGTTGGGATTTGGGATATTACTTTGATGTCCCTTGGTAAGTTATAGTTTGTTGTTTGATGCAACCAACTAATTTGTAGTTGCTTAAGTTGACAGGTTGATGGTGACCGTGAGCTACTTTTTCTCTATGAACGGGGAAAGAAGAAACTCCTGGAAGGGAATAGGGTTGAATTCACAGGTCAGACAAAATTTTATCTGTCCCAACTCATTTTATATTGAAAAGATATAATTTTTATTCATGCTTCATTCTTTGATTTTAAAAATGCTAATGCTTTGTAAAATAGGTTATCTATAAAGTTGAGTCATGGTATTATTTGTTATGGAGTGTGACACAGGTTTATGATAGTTTGTAGTTGAGATTGGCAGTTTTAACAGTAACCCATATATTGCTCCGCAGAAAAAAGTGGGTTGCAGATAAAGCAGCAGTTTTTATCAATTTTTTTGGGGAAAATGCTTCACTCATACTATTCAGTGAATGATTTTGTCCACTTTTCTGATATAATTTTGATTGTCTTGATTTTTTCCTAGTCTATATCTAATCTGTTTCACTTGTTGCAATTGCTTACTGAAAACTTGAACTCTGCAGATGGTTCAGATCCCTCTCTTTATTCCGGAAAGATCATAGAATGTTCTTGGGATTTTGATAAACTGGAATGGATCTTTATGCGAATCAGAACAGATAAGTCAACTCCAAATGAGTTTAATACTTACCGGAAGGTATAATACCAACTCCCATTTTCTAATTTCCCTTTCTTAATCTGTACATCGCTTCATCCATTTACTTATTTCATTATAGGTGATGCGAAGCATAAGAGACAACATCACTGAGGAAGATTTGTTAAATGAAATAAGTGAGATAATACGTCTTCCCATGTATGCCGACCGGATAAGATCTGATAGTAAAGCAAATCAGCATGCTAATGTTGCAAGGCGAAGGTGATTGGTGGTGGTTCGATCAGGGACTTTTATACCTTCAGTATTTTCATTGGTGGGTCGTGCGTGACATCAAGTGAAAACAAGATCAAGTGTATCTTCTGGTACTTGTCTCTGGGATTGTATGAAATTGTATTGGATTTGGCCATGTATTTTGGTCATCGTCCAAAAGTTGCTTATATTATGTAATTAGTTAGTCCTTGCGGTAAGTACTGCTGTGCTGCTGAGTTGTGGTGCAGTTGGTACGGCTCAAATCCCGGCCTGAATCCATTTCCTATGGTTGTCCAGATTAAGAGAGTTAGGTTTAGAATCTCAATGTATATTATCAATTTTCTTTTAGTGATCAAAAGTTGTTCAAAGGGTAGCCGTTGATTAGAGTCAAGTTCCATTACATGGGTAGAATTTCCCCTGTATGTGAATATTAATTCGAGTAGTAACAAGCCTTCCATTCTCTCTAATGTTCTGTGGATGTGGAAGTTATCATGCGTTTTGGCTGCGTCATCAGTGCTTGAATCAGATTGTTACTTACCTTGTTTGACGGTAGCCCAGCCACTGCTACTCATTCTACTAATTGCCCTTGAAATCTACCAAATATGTTTTACTGATCTGGAAGGATGTGGAGGGAGGCAATTGTCTTCTGTTTGGCAGCGGTGAAAATATGTACAAGGTTCAGATAAATGGGTGTGGAATAGAAACCAAAGCTAATTTGCTAGCATCATTTCCATGATGAATAATGACTAGGTATTTTTTCCAACAGCGAACCACATGTAAGGGTGAAAGTGTGATTTTTTTTTTCTAGTTTTTTTTTTATTTATTTTTTATTAACGATTCTTTTTAACTCTCAACTTTGCTTTCCACCGTTCTAAGCTTGCAAAGAAATCTTTAAGGGGTTTCAGTTTCTTGTTTTCTTTTCTAACATTAGGGTCTCTATGTAAACAGAACTTGATCACTAAATTGCAACAAAAAAAAAGACCACCACGAAGTTAGAGTTGGTTTTGTAAAGGAATTTTGATGTTGCATCTGTGGTTCTTGAATAAATGGCTATTCGACAAGGACTTCACTGATGCTTAGTTAGGGTTAGGGAAGTAACTGTGTTGTCGTTGAAGGGGATGCTCTATCAATTATTTCATACATCCAAAAGGACCATAAAATTATGACATGTGGGATTATAATCCATTCTATTCGGGAACTTAACATGCAATATCAATTATGCATCCTTTCCTGGATTTTCAAAGTCTTAAGAGGGGGCAAATTTAAAGGTTGGGGTGGGAAGGTTTGAACGATTTGTTTTTAGATTTGACTACCCTAAGGCTGATCAACATAAATTAAGTAATTTTAGCTAGATTTAATAAATTATAAATATTTACATCTAATAAAGACCTGGATTTTCTCATTGAATAATGATATTTGATTGTTTTGTTGAATGGATAATCCCCTTGCACTTCTTGTTGACGATTTACTCAAATTAAATATATATATATATATATATATATATAT